CATATCAAAATAAAACAACAAGATTTTTTGTGAGCTTCCAGGTTTTGCATGAGCTCCCATTAAGAAATTGAAATGTTTATCAAAAATTTTTTCCACTCAAAATAAATAGTAGTATCAATTTCTTTGACATAAAAAGCATATTTTTAAATAAAGATGGCCTGCTACTATTACTGAGAGAAGAATGTCACTAAAACATCAGAATCCCAAGTACTCCTTGGGAGAAAACAGCCAGGGCCACATTCGGTTGCTACTCAGTTGTGCCACGGTCAGACTTCCCGTGATCTCCACACGCTGTCCCATGACAAGGATTGAAAGAGTTCCTCAGGCTCAAGATCATCCCCACTCTCCAGAGAAGAGTGGGAAACCCAGATGAGCAACTGCACACATGGGATCCCAGCAACTCAGGAGGCTGAAGCAGGAGGATGGCAGGTTGGAAGCTAGCCTGAGCAACTTAGTGAGACCCTGTCTCAAAATTTAAAAAAAAATAAACTAAATTAAAATTAAAAGGGCTGGGGATGTAGCTCAGTTTTAGAGCACCCCTCCTGGGTTCCATCCTCAGTAGCAAAAAAAGAGTCACCTACAGAGCTGCTGAGATTCTGCTCTGCTACGACACAGGGACAGAGAGCAAGCCGTGGTGGGCTGTGAGCCTGGGAGGCCGCACCAGGCTAAAGGACGAGGACACTTTTAACCAGGGGAAGCATGCTAAGGAGGATTTGGCAGTCTTTTGGTAGTTTAGGCTGTTTTCCTCAAACGTTTGAGATTTGATAGCTAATTTTTTAAAAATTCAAAAGCCTCAGCTACTGTTTCTATCACATTCCCAGGTTGATTCACACTGGTGTGTGTGTGTGTGTGTGTGTGTGTGTGTGTGTGTGTGTGTGTGAGGTAGTGGCTGGATAAGTACTCAGGGGAGTAACCACAGTGAGCACAGGTTAAACTTCTGCATGAAGCAGCAGATTAGAGGAGAGCAGAGATGGACTACAGAGAATCTGACCCTGACATGGTTCCCTGGGGAGGAGTAGGGAGTGGCTCTCAAGCTCTACAGTATAGCAGATTTGCTTGCAGGGCTGGTTAAAGGGGGCTGCAGGGTGCCACCCCCCAGAACTCATGGTCTTCTAGGTCTGGACTTGCATATGGGACAATTCCATTGCTGCTGATGCCTGTGGCCCAGGGGCCACCCACGAAGGCCACCGAATAACAAGCACAGCAATTCTAAACCCCAGGCTGTTTCCAAAACATCGAGACTGGGGCCTCATTCCAGGACCCCCACAGAACAGAACTTCAGTGGAACCGTATGTGGGTGGCTTTAAAGCCCAGCCCCACCCACACAGATGTTGGTAGGGTTCAGGAAGACTGAGCACCCCTAAGCCTTCTGGATTGATGGGGAGTCTGGGCAGGCTCCGATCAGGTCCTAGGTAACAGATTTAACCACCACTTACTGTATCTCTTCACAGAGGCCTGGGAATACAATGGACTGAAGTCCTTTTCCCGCTCAGCATTGACACTCTGCCTAGGACACTTTCAAAGTGCATTTCCACAATACACAAGAAACAGTGTCACTCTGGGGACCAGGTTGATTTCTTTTCTTTCAACAATTCTGCCCCCTAGTGTCCCTTCATGGGAGGACTTGTAAGAGCTCACCTTGCCCACGGTTTCCTTTTGACCAGCTAAACAACTTGGGGCATTTTTCTCTGACATTAAAAAAATAATGAGCTCCTTTAACATGAATTGAAATTAAATCTTCGTTTCGGGCAGGGCGACTCTCCAGCTGCAGCCTCTCGGTTCTCCCGGTCTCCCCTGCTCCCTGTGCCAGGAGGACGAGAACTGGAGGAATCCCGTCCCCATCCCACCAAGCCCCTTCTTCAGACCCAGAGGCCAACAGGCAGTGAGTGAGGAAGGAGCACCGGCCAGGGTGTCCCACGGAGCTCCCCACCTGTGCTCACTCCTCACACCCTCGTGGGTCACGTGCATGGAGCACGGACATCACCACAGTAGTTCGAGTCTGCCAGAAGAGCCCTACAGACCTGCTAGCCCCTTCTTCAACAGAGCGTCCCTCCTGCCAGGCTCAGCCTCTTCCACCTCACCCCATCAGTGGCCTTCTTCTGGGTCCCCTTCCCGCTAAGGGCCACAGGGGGCTGTCACCTGGGCCATCCTCACTGTTACACCTTCCGGTCCACTGTGCCTATCCCCCTGTTCTTCTCACCTGCAAACCTCCCGGCCCACCTTCTGCCATCCCTCCAACCTCGGCCCCACCACACCACCGGAAGGCTCTTCTCAGGGTTTGTGGTCCCCTCCCCGTGGAGGTCAGAGCCAGTGGGTGCTGGCCTGTGCCTTCTGATTTGGGTGTCCACGACGTTCATGCTGGGCCGCGCTCTGTCTGTTCTTGGTTATCCAATGTCCCTGCTCCCACTCCTGACGGCCCAGCAGGCCTTGCAGAGTCCTCTGTCAGAGGCTGCTCAGAGAGCCTCCTCTTCTCCCTGCAGATCTCCTGAAGCAGGCTCATCCACGGCCATGACATCATCAGCAGACAGGAAGTGACAGGCCCCATGTCCAGCCTGCACAGTTCGCTGTCTCCTGAGTCCAAATGCCTCATCTCCTCTTAGTATCTCATGAGCGTCTCTGTTTTTCTTGTGTCTAAAGAATCCTTGATTCCCTCCCCAAACCAGTTCCTCCCTCATCTCTGCAAATGGCCTGGGAGACGGCCTTGATTCCTCTCGTTCCCACACTCAGGCTCTGTCTCTCCTGCCAAGGTCCCACTCCAAGCCACCCTCCGCTCCTGCTGGAACGCTGCAGGCCCTCCCAAGATTCCCTGGCCTCCTCCAGGCCTCCCCTTCACGCAGGTTCTCAGCACAGGCAGAGGTGGTGTTCTGAAATGGGAACTAGGGTGACAAGATGTGCCATTCCTTTGCCTAAAAAAATAATCAACAATGCCATTAAACTTTGAGTAACATACAAATAACATAGTTTGCCTTCTCAGACTTTGTCTCATTAGCCTGTCCTTCCTTACTGGGCTCCCACCATGTGGCTTCTTTCCAGTGAATTCCTTCCAACTGCTGGCATTCACTCTGTCCTTCCACATGCTCTTCCATCTTCCTAAAATGCTCTTCCATGCTCTCCATGACTGGCTCCTTTTTATGCCCCTCAACTCCTCAGTGAGGTCACACTTGCCAGCATTAAACAGGTCTCCCCTTCATTCCCCATCTCAGCCCTCTTATGTCTCCTTCATAGTACTTTGCATTTTCTAATTGCTTGTCTACTTCTCCGGCTTCCCTGCTCAGCTCTAAGCTGGCTGTGTCCAGGGCCTCTGTGTCTGTCTGACAACCTCGTATCGACTGGCCTGGTGTCCTGCAGACTCAGTTCTCGCATGTGTGAGCTGAACGAGAGTCTCAGCTGCACTCCACCCTCCCAGCCCTGGTCCAGGCCTTTGGTGACCCCCATGTGGCCAGGACACCTGACAGTGTTCTGGGCTCAGTTTCCTTGATTGCAGAGACAGACAGAAGAGGCTTGGTTCACTTTATTGTCTGTGACTTCTCTGGAGTTTTTCCAACACTTTTGGCTAACCACAGCGCCACCAGCACCCAGAACAGCCAGCTCCTCATAAATCCTGTTGATTGGAGGAACTCCCAGCTCTGAAGGAGGAAGGGGCCCTGGCGCAACGGTAGAGAGGTCTAATCTGGGCAGAGGTTCAAATCAGGGTTTTCAGGCTCCAGAGAAGTTGATCGGTGTTCATTTGTATACTAAAAGAGAAGAAAAACAGTTTCTTTTAACTTTTTTTTTCATATTTGTTCAATAAGGGAAAATAAACTTCATAGTTTGGTTGCTATGTAAAATCTGATATTTGGGAGACTTTCTCCAAGAAAGAAAAATGTTTAGCTTCTAGTTCAAGTTCTACCCCTGATGGACAGACAACAGCGAATGAAAGCATTCCCACCTTCCAAGCAGAGAAACGAAGGCAACTTAAAATAGCTGACAGAAGCCAACCACCAAGAAGCAAAGACCCCTGACCCTGGCCTTCTACTTCCTAATCCTGTCCCCTATCAGTTCAAGCAGGGTTTGCTCCTGAGAAATAAAAATAAGAATAATGGCTTTGAGACAGGGGTTCAGTTCTTCTGAAGGACACTTTAACCTCTGGGTATTCCTGGGAAAAGAAGCCCAAGGCCTGTGACCAACTGAAAATGTCACATGTCCCGATGCCCTGGGAGCTTGGCTGACCTGGCTGTGGACCAAATCCAACCCTGTGTGCTTCCCTCTCCGTTGAACCTGAGTCTCTCGGTGCTCCCTGGTGCTGCATCAAGGCTGGCTGGTGCCCAGAGGATCAGCTCAGCCCCAAGTGCTGATGCGTATTTTTGGCTAGAAAATGTGACATCAAGTTGAAACAGCTGATGAGCAAAGAGGCCCTGGGGACATCAGTGACATGGGTGTCTTAGCACAGTGTGCTTAAAGTGGTCAGGAACAGGGCGAGGCCCTGTGAGCTTGGAGTCCCTGAGGTTCCAGCTGTCCGTTCAGCATTTAATATGTTTATCTTTCTGCTAAACACATTGTTATTGAGTCATCTCTATTAAACAGCTACTCGGTGTGGGGCCCAGTGCTGCAAATCCAACACACAAGGCAGGTCTGCTGTCCTCAAGGACCCGCCGCCTGCAAAGTCAAAACAAGGGCTCTCCCTGGCTTCTCGCACACCAGAGCAGGGTACTCAGGTTTAGGTACAGATTCATCGAGAGTTCTTCTATCAGATCAAGAAGCAGCAAGCAACACCAGTAAAAGAGGAGCTTTTCATACCACTTAGTGTTGTTGCTGCAAACCAAAAATGAAATGTCAGTTTTCCCCAAAATACTGTCACACTCTAGACCACCAAGGTTGCATGTTGCATAGATTATTATGTTGGCACCAATGCCAGAGTAATTGTATTGATCAAACAAGTAAATTTCCAAGCTTTGGAGATGGGGGGAAATGTAACTTTGAGAAGTAGAGAAACTCACAGGATGCTGTTTGGCCTTCCTTAGAAATTGTCCGAGCCATGACGCATGTGATAAACCAAGGCATGGCGATGTACTGGGGCACCTCCAGGTGGAGCGCCATGGAGATCATGGTAGGTTAATTTCCACTTTTCAATGCCACGGAGCATCTCACTGTTCTCCAGATGCCATGCCTGGAGGTGGGGTCTTTTGCAAACTTCTCACAATCAAATATGGCAGTGGAATTGTAGGATCGATTCCATCTTTAAAGAGATGGCTGAGGGCTCTAACAGGAATCATGTTGTAGCATGCTCTTTCGTTTCAAGAGGGCAAAGTGACAGCTAATGGTATAAGAACAGAGTATTCTAGTTTTCTTATTTAAAAAAGACTATATTAATGACAATCCTGTTTATAACACACTAATTACAGATTACAGTTTTATGTTAATCTAATTTTTATTTCTTTAGGAACCTGCAAAGAGTCAAATTACCTTTTCTTTATAATAGTCCATAATTCACAGTTGGACTGATTTTCCCTGGACCTTACTTGATCCAAATCTTCCCAGAGGGTAGCAGTTCCCCCCTTTCAGCCTTGTTCTTCATGAACTGATGGTCAGAACCTCACCTATAATTTGCCACCCTACTCCTTCCTTGTTTTGACCTCCATGAGGGAAACGTCACCGGCTGCATCTCCTTTCTCCCTAGGAAGCCTATTCTGTAGCCAGGCAATTCAATATGATCCCACCCGTGTGTGAACAAGCCGAGTACCATCTTTTCCAGAGAGAGAAGGTGGAGGTCCAACTGCCAGAGCTCTACCATAAAATAGGTAATCTTCAAAATTGCGACTACTGAGTGTGTGTAACAATCGGGGAATCAGGGATTCTGAAAAGTCCGGGTCAAATGATTTCCTGAGTGTCCCTAATTAACATAGGGATGGAAAGAACTGCTCATCCCAGAGACTGTGGTAGAATCAAATGTGCCTGTTTCTAGTCCACAGGGGATCCCTGATGAAAGCCATGTGGTGCCGGGTTTCTGTTCTCGCGACTAAAAGGCTCAGGGGTCACTCCAATAAAACTGGGCTTACTGGGCTGCAAAAAATAACCACTCAAGAGACACAAATACCTTTTTTCTTTGGGGTCACTGTGACGGCTCCACTGACCTTAAGGGTCTGCAGAAAGAGAGAGCGACAGCACAAAGACCATGGCAAACCCCTTTTATTGAGGAGAAGCTATTCAAATGAGGCAAGGGGTCAGGTTTCAGGGGGCTGAGTCTATCTTCATGATGTCCACTGTCAGCAGGTTGACTGACACCTGGGTAGGCCTCACCCAAGGGCACCCTAAGAGAAGGGGACACACACAAGGCACTTCCATGGAAGATTCTATCCTAAACAGGGCAAGGGGTTATATTACAAAGGAACAGGTGACCATAGCTCCACCCATGGGGCTGTAGCAAGACACACCCATGCACAAGACACCGACTTTCGCATCCAAGAAGGGTGGGGAAAGCTCTGCCACATTTCTGCGACTGAGCGCCTCAGCACCCAGCCGGGGAGTGTGACCCAGTCACGTGTAAGGTTGGTTTCCCACAATGTGGACTCATAAATTGTGGCTGGCATACAAACTGAACTCCATAGGTGTTCAAAAAACTGCATCCAGAGGCTGGGGATACAGCTCAGTTGGTAGTGTGTTTGCCTTGCATGCACAAGGCCCTGGGTTCAATCCCCAGCACCAGCACCACATACACACACACACACACACACACACACAAAAATGCACCCACAATGAGGGGAAGAACTAACAGATAAACTCATCCTTCACAGGGCTTGCTCCAGCCAGGCATGCATCTCAAGAGTGGACAACTGAAAAAAAACAAGTGATTTTAGAAAAATCACTTATGCCTGGCACTGAGTTAGGTGAAGGGAATTTGACAATAATTAATAAGCCAGGCACTACATGTTTGTTTGGAAATAATTTCAGAGTGAGGGAAAAATATGTGTCTAATAAAAAGAAATGTAGACGTTAAAAGAAATACAAACAAGTCACATTCAGGTTTCTAGACCAAAACAGTTTCCAGAGTTCACTTTCCTCCTCAGAAATGGCAGGAAAATTCTGGGTATTAAAAATAAAAGGATAAAAGTTCAACAGCAGTGATAACTGTTGTTATTGCTGTCACCTGCTGTCACCTACTGAGTGTTCACTGCGCATTAGGCGCTGTGTTCCCACACAGTGGCACAGAATAGCCCAGGGAAGCACCAAAATTAGTGCAAATAGAAGTGCCCACACCTCTATCCATGAATGTTGGACATCAAAAGACCATGGCAAAGGGCTGGGGATATAGCTCAGTTGGTACAGTGCTTGCTTCATATGCACAAGTCCCGGGGTTCAATCCCCAGCACCACCAAAAAAAAAAAAAAAAAAACAAAGAACATGGCAAAGCCACATTTTTAGGCCTGCTTAAGTGGCTCATTCCCAAGAACTGACAGTGCACATTTGGTTGGTTTATAAAAGCATGAAACAATTTGTTAATCCCTAAATTGTGATGGAAAGATGTTTGCCAGCATTAACTGATGCATTCAGCCAGTTTTCCCCCAAAACCCACCACCTCCTCCCTTAACCCCAGTTTGCATGAGCAGCTTTCCATGTGCTCCCTCCACAGGGGTTGGCGCCATGACGTGGTCCCCACTTGCCTGCGGAATCATCTCAGGGAAATATGGAAACGGCGTGCCTGAAAGTTCCAGGGCTTCTCTAAAGGTATCTCTCTCACCTCCTGCAAGGGTCTGGGGGTAGGGAAAGGGGTGACGAGAACGGCCCACGTCAGGGAGGGCCTCCCAGCTCAGGCACACCCTGGCCTTGGCTGTCCTGGCCTCTGGCAGCTCCTCCAGAGGCCTCCGCTGCTGCCAGGCTCCAGTCAGCCCTTCAGAATCTGCCTGCACAGAGAGCTGTTCTCTGGGGACCCAGGGAGAGAGCAGCATCCAGCGACCTGGTTGGACTTGTAGGGCTCAAAGCCCTACAGTTACTTATGCTAAAGAAGGCTTTTCATTCCTTGTTTGAAAACTGACAAAATTTTAAATCCTCTTTCCATGTAAGAGGATCTAATTCTCCTTTTCTTGACAAAACAAAATTTAAGCCATGGAGGCTTAAGCCACAAGAGGCAGAGTTGTAGCTGAGTGTGGTTTGAGGTTGGTTCAGGTTTCTGTGCGTTGGGGGCCAGGGTAAGGAGCGAGGGCCTCAGGGGATCCACTATGGCTAAGCCCCTGTCTCCGGGCTCTATGACTGGCACCTGTGCAGATGCAATCTGGCCACTGAGACTTGTGGCTTAACCTCTGTGCTGAGGCATAAGGGTGTTCAAGATCAGGGAACAAGATTGCCTCCACTCACTCATGTCCTGCAGCAGGGCAGTCGGCCACCCCACCCGGCCCACATGCACCTGGAGCAGCAGAGCAGCAGCACTGAGGTCTTCCCACCCCCATCCCCACCCGGGAGAGCTGCTGCAGGCTCTGCGTCTTTCACTTTCCTTTCTGCCTGTGACAGCTGAGCTTTAGTTTGTTTGTCCCCTAAAGTGGCACAGTATAAATACCTCCTAACATGCTGACGTGGCCCTGGTCCCAGTCTGTACTAGCACAATAGAACTGTCAGAGAACAAAGTCTGCTTCTGAAAAGCCAGCAACGTTCTGAACCGAGAGAAGCCAACAGCACCTTGGGGAAGAAGGAAGGGAGCATCGAGAAGTGCGATTTCACGGAGCACCTACTATGTGCAAGGCACAGGCTGTGTTTCCATTCACAGAGGTCTTTACCAATGACACAGAAAGCGGTCACAGGTGGCTCTGAGTCAGTTGCAGCTAAGCCAAATTGCTGTAAGAAGTCACTTGACTCACAGACTTGATAAACTCGCTCATTGAAAATGTCCCAGGGCAAAAAAAATACTGCATTGGATACACCTAACCTACCAAGCAGCACAGCTCACCTCAGCCTACCTTCAAGGTGACAAAATCATCTAACACAAAGGCTCTTTTATAATAAAGCGTGGGATCTCTAATTTACTGAAGAACAGAAAGTTGTATGAGCCCACCATCACGGAGGTGAGACATCCTCAGTCGAACCCTCAAAAGCTGGGGACCGAGCAGGTTTTCTTTCTCAGGCTTTCTGAAAAGTTCAAAGCACTTCTGTGTATGCTGGGCACTTGCTCTCAGGTTCATGGTGTATGAGGGTAGACCTTTTCCAGATACAGAAATGAGAGCACAGAGACATCAGTATCCACCCAAGACATAAACCATACCCATGAAGCTGATGCGGGAACCCTAGTCTCTGAACCAGATTTCTATAAAAGAAGTAGCTACTCTGTATTCTGATTGCCTAGCGTCTATCACGGCTTGAGAAAAAGCTTGCAAACAGTTGGAAAAGCTTCCATACATCCACAAAAGAAAACAGAAAACAAAACCAAACAAACAAAAAAAAAATGGACATACAAAATGTTTGAAGGTGACAAAGCCCAAAAGTAACTTGGGAAAGATTCCCATTGTTGGTCTTTTATAGTCCACTTGGTATCCACTGGGATGCCATGGACAGTAAACATTCACAGCTGTCAGAGAGTGAAAGGCAGCCGGTCCCTAAGGCCTCAAGGCTCTGAATTATCAACCACTTTGGAAAGCCACTCCGAGTAGAGCTACCAAAGCAAAAAGTAAAAATTAGTAACGAAGAAGCAAACATCAAGGGTAGCCTTAGGAATGAGTTGGGATGCTCACAGTAGGAAAACAGAAAGAGGAAACTGGGCACACAGATAAAATAAGCTGGCAACTCTCACGTCCCCTAAAACAGAACAGGTAAGTGGTTCAAATCTCACGTTGGCTCTCGTCACACCCATGAAATAAGATGGTAATGCTTTGTGCCTGTTATAAGCACTTAACTACAGCTGAAGGACAAATCAACTCCACACAAGGAGTACCCACATGGCTTTTAGAGGTTTCTGGGCAGCGGCACTGGCCCTTCACCCTGCAGTGACCTCTGAACCACATGGACAGCTCTGGCTGCCTGGCTGAGTGGCACACACTACTGCTTTGGTCCATTAGACAGTTCCACGTGGAAGTCGCCTGGGCACAGTCGTGCCTAATGGACTCTGTCCTCACCACAGAGCCAGTCAGGAGCCAGGGCATTATCTCAGAGGCGTCCTTTCCTGCCTCGCCTGTCCAACAGGGCTCGAGTCCCGCAGCCCACACCTGACTCTCCCTGCCCAGTTTGGGCGAATTCTCTTCACCTCTTACCAGGTTTCCATCCAAACACGCTGTACTCTCTGCACTTTCTGCCTTCTCTCCATCCTCCTCTGAAACCCTCCTCTTCCCTAAAACCATAGCTACCAGCCGTCACCGGGACCTTGCCCTTGTCACCATACACACTGCCTAGTATCTCCAGCTGCCAGTGACAGAATTCAAGGCAAACAAGCCAAATCCACAGGGAGCTCTGTTGGTTCAGGGAGACACCTTGGGAAGGCTGGAGCAGGGCTGGCCCCGTGGAGACTCTACCTGTGGACTTGAACATGACTCTCCAGCTCCGCCGTGTCTCTGAACACGGGATCATCTTCTTCTACTACACATAGATCTTGTCCGTGAAGCCTGGAGCATGAGAACTGATGACTGCAGATTTAACCCTTAAGGGCATGGGACCAAGAGATAAGAAGTCTTTACCAACTGCACACCAGACAGGACTAGCCAGGGTTAGGTCACATGCCAACCTGTGAGGCCAACAACAGGGGCCAGGAGGGCAAAGGGCTGTGATCAGCTCAGGTCGTACACATTTTGCTGGGGTACTTTCCGGAAGGTGCCAGTTTCAACATGGCCTGTAATAGAATCATCAAGCGGGAGGGGCTAACCACAAAACACTTCTCCAGTTACGGGATGATGATCTGCGGATACTTCCAGAAGGAAACTGAAGAACTCATACAGAACCTGGCACATCACAGAGCCAGGAGCTCAGTAAATGTCAGACAAATGCAGTGAATCAAAATGGAAGGTCCACAAAGTAGGATCCAGAGACCAGATGTGCGGTCAAGGTAGAAATTTTAAATAGAAATGAACAGTGTAATGAAATTTACGGGCAGCTCTTCCCTGATGCTAGCCAAATGCTTTTTAGGAAAAGAAAGAAAGAAATTGAAAATATATACCCATCTGTCAAAGGAGAACAGGGAACGACAACCCAGGTGCATGGAGGTGGGGTGAAAGGTCCTTGGGACAGGTGGTTGCATGGGGAGACCTAGTGTGTTGCACACTCAGAAGGAGTTTTTAACTCTGACGTTCTATCTGGAGATCTCAACCTCAACAGCAAAGACTCTGTTGCTTTGGGTCAAAGACTTGGATGCTTAGAACTGGCCGATCATCTTGGATACTGAATCATCCAGACAAGGTCTGGACACAGCACTGCATCTCCTGCCGAGCCCCCATCAGGATGAACCAGGGCCATGAGGGGTCTTGGGGAGGGCATCACAGGCTCTTCGCATCTCAGCAGCGTTACCTATGAAAGGGGCACACAGGGGTGGTGACCCTAGTGCTGGGGAGGGCAAAGACACAGCTTTGGGAAGTTCAGAGCCATGTGACCTGTACTAGCCCATTAGCTAACGTGTGGATAAGGCTCGTCTCATTGGTTCTTTGACAAATATTTATTGAGCATCCACCTGGCCCACCCCTGTGCTTCGTGCTGAAGATACAGGGGTGGAGGGGCAGTCTTGACCACAAGCCGCGCAGCTCAGGAAATTGCTAGAGAGTCAGACTCAGGAAGGAGCTATGAACACAATCATGGTGGAGTCCCCAGGCCTGTGGCAAAGTCGCCCGCCCTGGGGAGCAGCGTCTGGCTCCGTCTGCAAGGCTGACCAGGGCAGCTCACCCTGTGCAGTCTGGCTTCTCCAGTTTCACTGCCACGCTGGCCAAGCCCCTACGCTGGGCAGCTCGAGGTCAGGACTGAAGCCGCAGATGAAGAAGCCCTCCCGGCCTTTGCTCCTTCAGTTTAGGAAAGCCAGCCTGCAAGGGGACAAGTGTCCAAACAGGGCTGGAGGAGACTTCATCTCAATCCCCCGGTTAATGCCCACAACAGCAAGCTGGGCTGACTCTCCTCATAGCCACAGCCCCACCAGCCTTCCCTCAGAAGAGCGGTCCACTCCCATGTTTAGTCAACATTTCAATTAAGCCTCATCTCCTTCTGCCAACATTTTCTTACTTAGAGCAGTTAAAGCTGATGTTTTGTTTTTGTTTTGTACCAGGGATGGAACCCTGCAGTGCTTAACCACTAAGCCACATCTCCAGCCTTTTTTATTATTTATTTATTTCATTTTGAGACAGGGTCTTGTTATGTTGCTTAGGACCTCACTAAGTTGCCAAGGCTGGCCCCAAACTTGAAATTCTCCTGCCTCAGCCTCCTGAGTCACTGGGATTACAGGCGGTCACCATGCCTGGCTAAAAACTGTTTATTTCCAAAATACTTTTGCTTGTTTTGATGTGAAGAAAGCAGTATAAACACTGTGCACCTACTATTTTAAAATCCTAACTGCCTTATAGATTCCCCTGAGGGGGATTCATGGGACTGAGGGTGAAAGAGAGGTATTCAATAAATAAGCTTGATGTTTATTACTTTCAGAAGTCTGTCTCTCAGGATGGTGTGTGTGCATAATATACAAAATTCATATCTATGCATTCACCCACACATAACTTGGAACCCCATCCTAAGAAAAAGACTCCATTGTATGTAGGATTTCAAAAATGGAGTTCAGGCAGGGCACAGTGGCACATGCCTATTATCCCAGGAGCTTGGGAGGCTGAGGCAAGAGGATCTTAAGTTCAAAGCCAGCCTCAGCAACTTAGCAAGGCCCTAAGCAATTCAGCAGACAATCTGTCTCTAAATAAAATATAAACAAGGGCTGGGGATGAGGCTCAGTGGTTAAGTGCCCCTGGGTTCAAGCCCGGATACCAAAAATAAATAAATAAATAAATAAAAATAATGGAGTTCAGGCGTTGGGGATGTGGCTGAGTGGTACAGTGCTTGCCTGGCATGTGTGAGGACCTGGGTTCGACCCCTGGCACCACACACAAAAAAAGGAGCTTGATAAGATTGATGAATAAATCAACCAATTTTTTATGTGCACAGCATATATAGAAACCTCAGGAACTCTTCTGGTTGTAATAAAAAGCTATTGTTCAAAAGCATTGTCTATTAATTTGCAAATCTTTTTTTTTTTAAGAGACAGTGAGAGAGGAGAGAGAGAGAGAGAGAAAGAGAGAATTTTTAATATCTATTTTTTAGTTCTCGGCGGACACAACATCTTTGTTGGTATGTGGTGCTGAGGATCAAACCCGGGCCGCACGCATGCCAGGCGAGCGTGCTACCGCTTGAGCCACATCCCCAGCCCTGCAAATCTTTTTTGGATTGAAAAAAAAAAAAAACAGACATTTTAATTTTGAAGAAGGACACGTTTTGAAAAACATGCTAGACTTTTTTTCATTGACATATGAATAACATCAAGGAGAAACTTTTCATATTTATAAAGCAAACACTGAATTTTAAATATTTTTAACATTTTTTTAATTAATATTTTTATTTATCTATGACAGTGGAATGTATTGAAATTCTTATCACACATACAGGGCACAGTTTTTCACATCTCTGATGTATATAAATAGGTTGTTTTCTATTTGGACGACATTGCGAGCCACTGGTCCCAGGAAGGCATTCTGAGGCCTCAGTGAGCACTGATGTCCTTCCCACGGGCAGCGAGTCATCCAGGGCTCTCTGATGTGGCAGTGCCCTGGTCCAGGAGGACCAGCGGTTGATCGCGGGCTCATTGTCCACCGCTGTCCACCCACCACTGGCACCCGCTGTCATGGCTGGAAAGAAGCTCCAGGCCACCTTCCTCTGGAAGAAGCCAGGAAAACTCTTGGCCGTTTCCCCAAGCAAATTCTCAAGCCAGGAGCCAGACCATAAGCCTTTGAGATCCAGGAGGCGACGACACTGGGGCGGCTTGCCCTTCTTTCTGCGTCTGCAAAATTATTCCAAAAAATCACAACAAAACAAGGCGGTTTCCCTTTGCTTCAGAAATACTCTTAGAATAATGAAAAGAATACTTAAAACAAAAGGCCGCAGCCCTCTGGGGGGACGGGGTGCTGTGGCCCACCACCACCACCACGGCTCTCTGCTGCCTCTGCAGAAGTGGCAGTCTGTGCTGGGAGTGATGTCACAGACATGCCACAGAGAAAGAAGGGCCACACTGCCGCAGCGTGATGGCTCTCTCTTATGTTCACGAAAACAGGCTAACATTCTTCCTCATGTTCTTTTGCTTTGGGTGTTGCTGCTTAGAGCTAGCTTTGTGTGGAAGGAACTCTTATTCCCTCCTTCACAGTGAGAACAGAGCCTTCTAGAAAGTAGGGCATTGAGAAGCTCTCAAAGACCTTTCATGTTTAGGAAATGAGGCTCCCTGCGCAGTCTACAGATCAGGGTCAGGCTCTTCCCACCGGTTTGAAATGTCAAATGCCTTTACTCTTTACGTTTTCGTAGTTCACACGATAGGCGACACACATTTGGGGAAGTCTTTACCCAGTTCAGAATTTTTAAATGTGCTTGACGTCCGTCGGGTACACTACATCTGCTTCTAGGAGCCGAGGAAGTCAGTCTTTTTAAACCAGGAGGTGGAGGTTAGGAGTGGACCCCAGGCAGGAGAGGAGATGAGAATGTAAGGCGGTTTGTTTGTTTAAGCAGAAAATTTGGCACTGCGCCTTCTCCATCAGGGAAACAGCATAGACCTGGGTAAAATGTCAATTCCATTTTTTTTTTTTTTTTGCGACATTCTAAAACTGGGCTATCTCACTAAGCCTTTCTTCTCCTGGGCAGACAAGGGTCCACCTGCCTACATCTCTGTGTCCATATTTTTAGAGCTTTGTGCCCTCTGATCAACGTGCATGGTGAACATGAGTGGAAGTTGATCTTCTGAACCAGGGAACAGGATCAAGGTCATGGGAACCTCTATCTCTTTGCATAGAAACGTAAGCGTCTTCTCACTGCAAAGCACAGGGGTCAAGACGACCCGGGATTCACTGAGGGTCTTGTAGTTGGTTGAATTATGACCCTCGAGGTCACGTCCCCACCAGACGCTATCGCTGAAATGTTTCCCGCTGTGCTTCTCCCCAGTGCTACCAGTGGCTGAAGGAAAGGATCGTCAGTGAGGAAGGCAGGAAGCAGCAGAACAAGCTGAAGGACCTCTCTCCCATCGCCGAGCGCCTGGGGTGCACACTGCCTCAGCTTGCAGTCGGTGAGGAGATTGCTGGGGGTGTCTGGGGGGTCTCCCTGTTTTCTACTGCTAACCCACAGCCCTTTTTCGCAGAAATGTCTCCTATAGGGGCAGACAGATTCAGAGGCGTAAATTCCTGCTAAATACAACATAAAGTGAGTCCTCCAGGTTCCCTAGAACTTTCTATATGTAAAACTACTTTTCTCACCTCTTTCCCCCGCCCCTTAGAACGCAGTTCAGATGAGAGGAGGTCAGTGGGAACACAGGCGTCCTCACCAGAGTCAGAGGTGAACTGTGGAGTGACACCCACTTCCCACTGGTCGGGTTTCCTCCCCTGCTGAGGCAGAGCCAGGGTTGGTGTGAGAAACAGCTGCTACAGAGGCCCAGGGCTCCCTAACCCAGAGAGGTGGCTTTGTACATGGAGTGCATCAAAGTTCAGGGTCACCGGTCACAACTAAAAGCCACATAGGATGGCACTGTCCAAAAGCAAGATAATACAAACCACATACTCCAATTTCCAAGTTGCTAGTGACCCATAGTTAAAAAATAAAACAGAGCTGGGCATGGTGGTGCACACCTGTAATCCCAGAAGCACGGGAGGCTAAGGCAGGAGGATGGCAAGTTTAAGGCCAGCCTCAGCAACTTAGCAAAGCCCTAAGCTACTTAGTGAGACCTTGTCTCAAAATTAAAAATATAAAAAGGTTGGGATGTGGCTCAGTGGTACAACAATCCCTGGTATCAAAAAAAAAATGAAAAAGGAAACAGGTGAAATTTATTTTAATAATGGATTTTATTTACTACAATATACAGTACATGTTATTTCAGCTTGTAATACATTTCTTTAAATGACTGAGATATTTTACACCTCCAGCACATTCCAGTTCAGGCTCCACACATCTCAAGCACTCAACAGTCCCACATGGTTAATGGCTACACTTTGGGCAGAAAGGCGTGTTGGCTCTCAGTTCTGGCTGCAGGTATTTGCCAGGCAGCACAACAAGCACTTAGTATGCACTGTCTCATCTCCTCAGTCATTAAAACAATCCTGCGAGGTGCACTCCGGTAGCCCTAGCTCACAGACATAGACCGAGGACTTGCTAGAATTCACATGGTAACTGAGAAAGGGAAAAAATGCATGCCACTCCCCAAAAAAAATATCCTATGGATGAAGGAATGGCAGGAATTGGGACAAATAGGTACAGTGACCCAAAGCCCGTGATAAGGTCTACACAAGTAAAATAATCCAATAGAACATTTGCTAGTGCCTTGACCCTTCTGAGGTTAGAAGTCAGAGAAATGTTAGTTGCAGTTAACAGCAACAGAAAAACAGAAATGGGAGGTGGCTTTAGAGAGAGGAAATATCATATGCCTAAATATGACTTGCTTAATCCCATCTTAAAAAAAAAAAAATAAAAGAAGAGCCAGGGAGATAGCCCAGTGATACGGCACTTGCCTAGCATACAGGAGGCCCTGGGTTCAATCCCCATTACTATATAAAAAAATAGTTTTGAAAATCAAAGAATAGGGGCTGGGGATATAGCTCAGTTGGTAGAGTGCCTTCCTCGCATGCACAAGGCCCTGGGTTCGATCGATCCCCAGCACCATAAAAAATAAGTAAATATAAAGAATATATTAGCTACATCTCTACAGCTTTAACAAGCAAAGTAAAACATATCAGTCACTTGACCAAGTCAAGTTACTCAACCTGATAAAATGGTTTCAATACATTTCTTACAAACTTGCTGAGTTGCAGGAAATTGTATATGTAAAGCAACGAGTAGGCAGCTGCTCAGTAAGTGGTGAGGAAGATGTACTAGACACGCTGGACTTGATGTTCTCCCCGCTCCTAGCCTGGCGTGTGGCCAGAGTAAATGCAGAGAGAAATGCATTTTGCAATCAGTGTGTTCTTGAAGGCAATATGAACTGAGCAGTTGTCTCTGCACTCATGGATTTGATCACCCACGCGCATGGTGTTAGGTACAAGAGTCAGCTAGAGGTGACCTAAATCACCTGGGACGTGCGTGCAGATGCTTGCCATTTTGTTCAAAGGACTTGAATGTCCTGGGATTTTTGTGTTCTGAAGGGGAGTGCCCGGAACCAATTTCGCAAGAACACCAAAGACCAACTGCTTTAAATTTAGTTCTGAAAGAGATGGAAAAACACCGTCTTCCTGGAGGAAATCTTCACAAAATTCAGACTTTCACTGGTTGTTAGACATACAGGAAAGATCCTCTGCACAAGTCTGACTTAAATTAAAACATGCTTTTCCCCCTTTTCCTCCCTCTATGCCCCCAGATGTCTTTCTTGCCTGTCATTTTTTTCTTCTTTCTTTATAAACAAGTAGTTTTGGTTTTAACCACAGAACTTTCAGAACCAAAAGGGAAGTGATATTCAGCCATAAATCCTTTGATCTGCAAGGACGGTGTGGGAGGGGAGCTCTTCCGGCAAGAAGTAAACTACTAGATCCCCAGGTCACACCTGCACCCAGGCCAACACCCATCCTGGGTGCAGTAAGCAAGCACCCTGAATGTGCCTGCTGTTAAGTGTGGTGCAGGATGCTAGTCCCCAGAATCACCTGAAGGTGGCGCCATGAGGCTAGCCAGCCCTGCCCGGTGAGTTGGCTGCCCTGCAGCCTGCAGAGGAACCAGCTGCTGTTGACATCAGGTAGTTCTGAGCAATGATTTGCCCAGGGCCCCAAAAGACTCAGAGAACCACTAGGGCCAAGGAGAGTTACAAGTGCAAACAGGAAATAATGAAGCCAAAAAAGGGGGGCAGGGCAGATCACTTGGATTGCTACCTTCACAGAGCACTCTCTTGACTGCGTGGAAAACACAGTGATTGCCATAAAAGACCCGGGCATGGTGACTCTTACGAGTATCAGTCGGCAGACAGCAGGGCCTGGAGCAAACGGGGCAGAAGAAGTGCCAGGGTGTGCACCAACGATCCGTGCCTGTTTATTCAACAAACACTTAATAAGTGCTACTATATGCCAGGTGCTGAGCAGGATGCTGGGCATCCAACTGCCAATTAGCCCATCTCACAGCCTGGTGGGCAAGTCAAGAAAACGAACAGATGGTTTGAATACAGTGTCAAAGTACTGGGAAGGGAATGGGCAGCCAGGGAAGTGAAGAGCAGGACACCCAACCCCACTTGCAATTCAGGTAGGACTTGGGAAGGAAGGCAATTCCCCTGGGGAATCTCAAAGGGTGCCCAGGCAGTGAAGCAGAGGCCACAGACCCCACATTGCAGGCAATGGATTAAAAAGCATTTGATGTTCACTTTAAATACGTAACTTTTTTGGCTTGTAAATTCTACCTCAATAAAGTTGGTTGGTTTTTTTTTTAAGAAAACCATAATAGTCCCCAGAGCAGAAAGAGAAAAATTAAAAGTGGGGCTTTAAGGGTTTAAGGGTAATTTGATAATCAACACAGGAGTGTCAGAGAAGGTTGGTAGGTAAGTGGAAATGAAGGGACCAGACCCCAGGGTCTAGGAGGACCGCAGGCAACAGAGGAGGAAAGCAAGACCACGCACCAAATGTTAAGGCAGGAGAAGAAAGTGCTTTAAGGGTGGGCAGTGGGATAGACACCCCAGTACTGGGGCCAAACCACAGGTAGAAGGCAGAAGAGCCCTAGTCCCACAGGCAGGTGCACAGATTCCATCCACCTTCTCTGCAGCAGGAGTGCTGTTCAGTGTTCAGCCCCAGAGCACTGTGTATCCTCCACAGAAAAAGTTAGTTTTAGCTGCCACCAGTTTGGCTATAGTTGATGTTCGCAGGCTCATCAGTGATGGTGAGCTCTGTGACACCCTGACCCACATCCTCTTCATCTCTTCCCAGCGTGGTGCCTGAGGAACGAGGGCGTGAGCTCCGTGCTTCTGGGATCATCCACTCCCGAGCAGCTCATCGAAAACCTCGGTGCCATTCAGGCAAGTCCTGCAGTGGGTCCTGTCTCTCCCACCTGTCCTGGGGGTGGGCACAAAGGCATAAGAAGCAATAAACAAGTCCTGGGTTCGCAGACCCAGAGTGGTCCTCTGCTGATCAACAGGCAAAATTCCCAGAGCTTGCTTCTCATCAGGGCCTATCTCTGAGGGACTCATGTCCCGGGTGCACCTGGCAACTGACCTCAGGCCCTAACATGAAGCCTGCCTAATGACAAGCTTGCAATGTGACAGGCATGGGACACGGCACACACCACTTATTCACTTGCTCCTTCCACAAATATTTATTGCCAACCAACTGTGTGCCAAGCCCGCCTTTCTGATCTCCAAGCTCCCTGCATTTCTTCCTCCTCATCCTACATTCAGGACAATGGAATTGCTGTAACTGCTTCGAGGCCCCTGGGGACACAGACTTGTGTCTTCCTTTCCAGGTGGTTGTTGTGTTTTTTGTTTGTTTGTTTTCTTTTTTGGTTTGTAATCAACATATTAAGGAGACATTCATATGTTTTAAGAATTGCTTAAATTCTGATATCCAGATTTAAGAATGATGGCTTTTCAACATGCAATTAAAGCCATTCCACACATGTGCCAGACACCAACACCACATACAGTTACCTTGGAGCACAAGGTAACTGTATGGGTTAAAGTAAGCCTGTGACATACCTAAGGAACACCTTCCTATATGCGACATGCACACTACCTCTCCATGTACAGGTCTCTTCTCTTTTATGTCTGTGATTCAGCTCTGGAATTCACTATGAGGGCTTACCATTGTCCAAAGAGAAGGGAAAATAATGTAACCAGGACTAGTCACCATAGTTTTCTATATATATGTGTGTGTATATATACATTTTTTTTTAAAAAAATGGCACAACAGAAGGGAATTCAATTCTACAAGTGTGAGTCTTAAGAAGCAGCATATCATCACAAACCCTTCTTCAGAAAGGTACCCTTTCTTCACCAAAACCACAAGCTAAATCATACATTATGCTACCTTCAAGTAACAGCTGAGGCAACACATTGCAGAGACATCACATGAGTCCTGCTTAATTCAAATAACTAGACAGAGCAACACTCCTCTACAAAATAAGCTTTTTCTGACTGCCAGTTAAATACCATTTTAATTTCATAGCTTCACAATGAAGGGTCGTACTCTGAAATCAAGACATAGCTGGCATTTCAATCTGAATCTGTCCACATACACAGCTGAAATCAATTACAAGTTATGCCTAGCAGATGCTATGGCAATTGTGGTTTTTTTGTTTTTGCTTTTTTTTTTAAGTAGTTTTTACAGGTATTAAACCACTTCTTGCACACTGAAGTCATCATACATACAGGGTGAAGTCAGAGCTTTTGTATTTGCATTTATTCTTCATTTAACTTTTAAGGCACTACTATAGAATATTAAACAAAACAAAAACAATTAAAACAAAACAATAGCAAGTTGGGCATGGTGGAGCACACCTGTAATCCCAGCAGCTCTGGAGGTTGAGACAGGAGGATCACAAGTTCAAAGCCGGCCTCAGCAACTTAGCAAGGCACTAAGCAACTCAGTGAGACCCTATCTCTAAATAAAATACAAAATAGAGCTGGGGATGTGGCTCAGTGGTCGAGTGCCCCTGAGTTCAATCCCTGGTACCAAAACCAAACCAAACAGCAATAGCAAGCAGTGCATCTTAGGACCAGAGCCCTTCACTCACATGCACTACTGCACTACTGGCACCATCAAGAGGTTCGAGCTGAACACCCTCTCTGGGATGAGTGCATTGTCCCCTGTGCTCCAGTACAATGGCACCGTCTTTTCTGATTGGGATCAAAGTCGACCAGTCCTTTCTGATCCATTTCATGAGTCTCCTCCTTTCTCTCAGGTAGTTTTTCCAGCAGAGAGAGATTTTCAGAAGAGAGAAAGACATTTTCAGGAAAAGGTTGCTTTACACTGGATGATGAGGCGACCCTTTCCAAACACTCTGACACCCTGGCCTACCCTCATCTAGCACACTTTATATCCCCATGTTCGACCATCTGACCTGGATGAGGGGTGAGGACTGGAGTTTGGATATTGGCTTTTGGAAGCCACAGGATGTTTTAACCAGCTGTGTGTCTGACACACAAAAAGGTCTCCTCCTCATGGAGTGAAAACAGCAGGTCCTTCTGGTCTACCACAAGGAGACCATCTCCCTGCTCCATCCTGGCTCTTGGTCCCTTCTCTATGGAATGTTCTCTTCTGTCCATCATTCATGCCTCTGTCAATAGGAACTTCTAGAAGCTTCCTTCTGTGGCAGCTTTTACATCTGTCTTTGGGACTGACCCATTCCCCTGGCCCTGGCACCCCATGCACAGCCTGACTCTGCCGATCTTCCAGTCCTATATCTCACAGCTCCTACTTGCACTGCAGTACCTGGGACGTTGGAAGAGCACTCAGCACTCCTTTCTTACCCCCTTGGCCTTTACATTTGTCACAAACTGCAATCTCTGGAAGAGCCACTTTCCTTGTTGCACCGTTACATGAATATAACGCTACTGAGAGCTGGTGTGTGATGTTCTGGCCTCTCTTTCCTGCACTCCTCCTCCTCCTCCCCCAAAAACCTGTCAAAGGTGTCCACGGGGCAGCCAAAACCACCACCACCCTACCTTCCTACATGGCCAGGCCTCCTTTGTCATTTAATTCCCTTTTCTGTACACCAGTGAGAACTTCATAGGCTCCATAAATCTGTCTAAGCTTGTCTCCTTCATTTGGATTCTTACCAGGTGGTACTTTGAGGCCAGTTTCCCGGTAAGCCCTTTTCAGTTCTTGACGGGGGTGTTAGGCTTGACCCTACATCACACTAAGTGCTTTCACTCTCCATCTTCGAAGCAGGTGAGGGGACCAGGCCCATGTGGGGGAGCAGGAAGGAGCATGTAACCGCGAGGTTCACGTCTTTCCCACTTCTCCACTGACCAACTGGCTGGTCTCCTGCACACCACATGTCCCTTGGCTATCGGTGAAGAAATACCTGTCAAATGAATGAATATTTCCATGTTCTAAGAGAAATTGGCTCAAGATTCTAGTTTGGACTTCCAGGATCACATCTCCCTAGAAGCAAATTCAGGAGGACCATCTCCTTCCCTAGGCCTACCCCCAAGGAGCCAAAGGGTGCCCTGCAGTCCAGGCATTGCACCAGCCTGTAGAGGCACAGGAGGGGGCGGTGGGACATGGATGTTCCAGGCCTCCTATCTAGTGATAAAGTGGGGTTGGTCAGTTATGACCACTCCCTTCCCCACAGGCCAGCTCTCAGTCCTGTCCTGCCCCACTGCTGAAGGCCCTAGGAATGAGTTGCCTCTACCACTGCCATGGCCACTACCTGCTAGCAGGCCAGGGCCAGGCTTCTGTTTCCCTCTTACTCAGTCTCCCGGCTTCATCCCACCCCACTGCTCCTGAACAAGCATACAGCCCTGTTACCTCTCCTACAGAGAAACAGGTGGAGCTAGAGACAAACGATCAGTACTTAGAAACCCTTTATAAATAGCCCAGAGCCTGGCGCAGTGGTGCATGCCTGTGATTCCAGCAGCTCAGGAGGCTGAGGCAGGAGGGTTTCAGGTTCAAAGCCAGCCTCAGCAACTTGGCAAGGTCCTAAGCAACTTAGTGAGACCCTGTCCCTAATAAAAGTATATAAAGGGCTGGGGGCGTGGCTTAACGGTTAAGTGTCCCAGGGTTAAGTGTCCCTGGGGGTCAATCCCTGGTACTAAAAAAAAGCAGGCCAGAATATGCCAGGGGATCAATGCTATAGGCTGCCTGCCCGTCTCATATAGCAAGGTAATCACCTCCATCTCTCTGCTTCCGAGATTCCTTCTGAGGGCTAGGGCTGTAGCTCAGTGATAGAGTGCCTGCTTCACACGTGTGAGGCACTGGGTTCAATCCTCAGCACCACATAAAACTAAATAGATAAAGATATTGCATTCATCTACAACTAAAACAATATTAAAAAAAAAAAAAAAAAACCCCTCAGAGAGCAAAACCCCACACTTCCTCCTGGATTCTGTGGGGTCCCTGCAGGATATGCTCCCTCTTTTTCTTTTAAATGAATCTCCACTTTTTTTTAGCTCTTTTATTTTGTTTGTTTTATTAAGTTGTAGGTGGACATAATATCTTTATTTTATTTATTTTTTTTATGTGGTGCTGGGGATCGAACCCAGTGCCTCACGCAAGCTAGGCAAGTGTCCTACCACTGAGCCACAACACTGGCCCCCAGTAAGCTCCCTCTTTTTAGCCACCTACCTTCTCTCATTTTCAGCCACGCACTGGGCAGAGCTAAAGCCACACAATGATGAGGGGATGGGGAATGCTTTGTACACAAAAGAACAAAAATTCAACTCCATGATTTCAATTCCATTCATAATTATGGAGCACCAGCTCTGCCCAGCAAGCGGGAGCCTGAGCGTTAAGGCATCTATCCCTTCACGCAGAATGTCTCTGAGGGGCTTACTATGTGCCAGGCATGAACAATACCAAAGGACACAGGAAACACGTAACCCACTCTCCAAGGGGTTCATGTTCCAACAGGAGACAGAAAAATACTCATACAAAATTGCTTCAATTGTGAAAAAGATACTAAGTAAATAAATAGAATGTTGCAATGGCCTAATGGAAAAATGGTGGACCTACTTTAAATAATGTCCTTGCAAAAGGCCCCTCTGGGATATGTTCACCTTTATCACACACTTGTGAAAGCACATGAGAGCCCAGGAGTGTCCTCCAGGCCTGGGCAGAGCAGAGCAAAGGCCTGCGCTGGAGGGAAGTGGCTTCCCCAGCCACGGTTGGCCTCAGGCTGGTGTGGCTAATTCAGTAACCCCAAAGAGGACGGGGGACCACTGAAGAGGAGAGGCAGGCGGTCCAGCTCCTGTGGGACCACAGGGTCAGAGTCTATCCTAGGTAGAGGGCCTTTGGAGTGTTCTAAAAGGGATATGCTTCCATCTGAACGTGAGCACCATGCGGAAGCAGAACAAAGACGGGGCAAGAGGGAGGGGAGAGGGGATGATCCCCCAGGTTTAAGAAAGAAAAACAATATGGAGGAAGGAATTAGGCTCCCTGTCATGCTAACAGAGGGTGACATGCCATCCCAGAACTTGGGCTGAGCTTTGAAGGCTGCAGGACCGTGCCAGGCAGCAGGGGAGGGGGCACATTCCCAGCTATTCTTCTTCCCAAAGTGCTTCCTCTCAGCACAGCTCTGCCCAGTAGCAGGACAGGGCTGCTGTGCTCAAAGGCTTGCCAACCCACCCTTCCTACCCACCACCCGGCCCCCTGCACTGCATGTGCCAGAGAAGCAGGACTGGCTACAGGGTGGAAAGCATGGCATGCCAGCCGCTGCCAGCTGCAGGGAGAGACAATCTCCAGTAGGCTGGGAAGGCGAGCTGCTCCAAACGTTGGAATAGGCCTAGGTGTGCCAAAGTGGAGGGGAGAAATAAACAGCGCCTTGGCAGATGGGAGAAGGGAGACAGCACAGCTTCCTGCCCAGGTCCCCGGCCTCCCCACTCTCACCTGAGGTAGACAGAATTGCACCCCCGGGGCCTGGGCAGCCAGGCCCCCACATCCAGGCCTCATGGCCCTACCACACCCACACCCTCCCTGGGGCCTTCTCCAGCCTCTAGGAAGCACTTTGCTTCCCAGACAGCGGTGAGTCCTCTTTCTCCACAGTGACCACCACCTTTGCCCAGCAAAAGCCTATCCACCCAAGGTCCACATTCAGGCCCCTGGGCCTGGGAGGCCTGCCCTGGTCCC